ACAGACTATTTCAAGCTCTATTGCTTTTATTCATATAAACTTTTACCTTATTCAAAAATGCTTAGCTTGTAAGGCAGTAGTAGTACAGTTATAAACCGCCATATTTATAAAGACTGTCTAATTGGAGCGAGTGACTTTAGGAACTGATTTTGTATTTAATCGTAAGGCTTTACCTTGCAATCTCCTTCTGGAATCATGTATAAGAAAAAGGTCTTCTCATTCCGTTCCGTGCAGGTTTTTTCCATGAGAAAAATTCTGATTGTCATCCCAGGCGAAGGCACTTGGAATGAAACCTCGCAGAAATCTGTAGAGGATACATGATTAAACAAGAGCAAACCCTTTTAAACTCATGTAAAAAGCTATTTTTAGTACATCACATGCATTGTGCAAAGGCTCTTCAGCAGGATCACTGTTTACATCCGAGACTATTATACATCTAGGCACAAAAGCCTGAGTAGAACGGTCTTTTAAGGCATCAGTGGACGTTTGCCTAAGGCGACAACAACACTGTTGCTCTTACTCTTACTTGCTTTTAGAACGGAAGAGTTCCTTTTGATGTATACAATTAAAACAAACGGAATATAACTTTGTAACATTGAATAAAGTTGAAATACATTAGCCTAAGATCCTTTAAAGCAATCTTCGCACTTACTTTCCCTAGGAGACTTCTCCTGCGGTGATCGTCCTGGTAAAGTGTGTTTGACCTTTCCATAACTGCCGCTTTTCCCATCTTCTAACGAGCTGTCGGGTAAGTAGGGAAGATTAAGGCATGACCGTAAAACGACGTTAGCTACATGAACCTGTGTAATTGTATTTGGTGATGACTCTCCCGCAGTACTTGTTTTGCTGCTATTAGTCGCTCCACCATCACAAGACATGCACTGCTGCGTTTGATTAGCTACCGCATTGAAGACAGGCTGGGCGCCATTACTGGCGTTCGAAGAGGGTCCACTTTCTTCTCGATGGGCCTCGTTTCTCGAACTTACTGTGACGATCAACGGTTCGCGTTCAGGACTCGATGATGTTTCTGGCTCAGGGTCCTTGTCATCATCGGATTCCGCATTTGCTGGGAGACTAGAGTTGGCTCCTTCTTCGGCTGGAAAATATTCATCTGCCGTGTTTCGGCTTCCTTCGAAATTGCTGTTTCTTCTCTCGTCCTAGAATGATAATGAAACTGATTAAGTGAAAGAATTAACAGCAATATTGGCAAACCTGCGCTGTGCACTCCTTCTACGGTGAACTTTTAGTTTCAAAAATCAGAAAAAGAAACTGAAACCACAGATGAAACTCAGAGGTTCCTAAATAAGGCATCGCGAAACGAAACCGAAAGGAAATGCGAGAACCAACACAGAGCATGACATCTCTGTTTGACTAAAGTGATTTTCGGTAAAATCGTCTTGAAGTAAGCTAGGCAGAAGGTAGACAACCGTTTCAACTAACCATGCCAGTTCTCCCTTTTCTACCCTTGCGCAACAAATGTTTTAACACCTCGTTCGACTGTAAACGAAAGAGGCAAACCACACGATATTTTCACTTTTATGAGCGCATCTCATTTGCGTGCAGTGCCTTTTTAGTTCAGTCAAGTGACTTCCTTTGATTGGCAACCGATGTGTCTGGGGAATCCCCTGACACTGGAAACAAAGGTTTTAAAAATAGGCAAGTTTCGTATTCCCTGCGACGGCCCTGGGACGAGCACGATTGCGAGGCTTATGCAGGTCAACTTCTTTGCAAAAACATAAAACAAACATAGGTAATTTGCCGCTGAGTCGCTGGAAAACAATAGAAATCTTAAAAATAGTTAAATTTCAAAGCTTAAACTTTACCAGTAAGCCAAAGGGATATCTGTTGCAAACAACAAAATTGTGAGAAAATCAGGCCCGTAACCAGGATTTTATGTGGGGGGGGGGGGGGGGGGGGTAA